ATAGAAGAGGCAATGTCGCATCGAAAAACTGCGAAACTATTTAAAACATGAGAATTCTGAAGTATCGAATTCCCCCAGACTGGTTAACCCAGAACCAGCGATAATACGATTTTCGAATTTTTGCGTACTTAGTGAATGACTTAGTCTTAGACAAATCGTTACATTTATTTGGCAATCGTCCTCGTCGTCACAAGGTGTTTATATAACCGCGTAGTTGTGACATCATTCTCCGTTCATATCATACATCAGAAAATATAAACCCACTTTCGATCTATTACCAAATCAAAATTTGACCGGGGTTTTAGTGACGAATTTTGACATGTTTGCACCGCAGTCAATTTCGCAGTTGTGATTTGAATTCTTCGGTGTCGGGAAAAGTTTTTCAAAATGAAATAAATTTCCTGCAAAATCTGGAAGGTTTCTAAGCGTTAATAACAGTTTATCAAAATGAAGTTTGCAGTCGCAATTTTCTGATTCCGGATCAGATGCTAAAATAATTTTAACTAGGATTTTCCCAAATCCACAACTCTGATATTAACCGGTAAAAAATAAACGAGAATATTGGTCGGACACCGAGGACTTATCGATCGAAAGTTAGGGGATCCCCCAAAACAGCGCTCTCACTCCATAGTGACACCTTGTGTCCCATCACTAAGTAATTAATAACTTGCTAATTATACGACATAAATCATCCAAAATCAAAAGACTTCTGGTCCGAGATATGATAAATGCACATGCAAAATTTGGAGCAGATTCAACCTCGCTTTCGTGAGATATCGCGTTTATCTAACAGACAGACAGACATACAGACAAATACCTATCAACATACTTACCGATTAAAATCAATAAGTAATGAGATCGCGATTTATGATCATAGATCAGGGGTGCGCAACCTGCGGCCCGCGGGCCAACTGCGGCCCAGTTATTTGTAGCTGGCCCTTCTGTATTAAAAGGCTGCACATCTCTGTTATAGAGTTTTCCACGCAACGGCACAATTACATAAGTTATACTCCAAATTTCATTCAACATTGATGTATGAACTTTTAATAGCGAATAACATCTAAGAATGCGGATATGATGTAAGGAAGTGCACCAATCAAACGTTGATTTCTTTTTTTAAAAGAGAATGAGTCTTGTATGTCCGTTGGTATTACTGGGCGTGAAGGATTTGGGCTGGATTCTGTAAGTGTCATCCCGATCCGTTATGAGTAAAAACAAGGCAGAAACAAGTTTCATTTTCGTTTTCATTTTTCTAATTTATAGCGACTTATACTCGACTGCATGACTTTTTGAGAATTTCAAAATATTTTTATGACGTTTCACTCGGATTCGGTTTATTGCCGCCATATATCACAATATATAGGGCCGGATTTACCATTAGGCAAAGTAAGCTGAAGCCCATGGGCCTTAGGAAACTCTACGGCCTTTTATACAAATAACACAACAAATAATATTCCTTATAGGTTTCTTAAAATTTGTTTTGACCATAATATCGCCTTTATTATCGGAAAAGGATAGGAAAATATATATTTCCTAGTTATATACTATTTAATTCAAGAAACATAGAATCTAGGACATTTATTTTTTACTATTTCAGATCTTTTTTACGTAAACCCCTTTATTTAAAAAAAAATAATAATAAAAATGCTTAATATATTTATCGGTGACATCAATCGAGTCTGGAAATGGACATACCAACGTTTTCTAATGCTATAGCGTTTCATTACACCCGTTAGTTCTTTTAAATTTATTCAAATTCAAAGAGTGTTTTAAATTTACCTTACTATCGATACTACTTGGTTGATTCGTTGACGTATATTTCCTGCAAATATACTTTTGTATTTTACGCGGTTTAAGATTCAATTTATGACGCCATATAATATTTTACATAACAGTGAATCGCATATTCCTTGTGGCGGCATTGTTAAAGGAGGCTAACGAATGGCATTATTGTTGAAGAGCATGTGTATAGGGCAGGAGTGGGCAAGTTTTTTGGACCAAGAGCCAAACCTTTTACCCACCTAAACAGGCGGGCCATGTAACTGTGACGTAAAAAGGTATATTTTATTAACAATATTTACAGTGTTACAAAAGCAAAAGTGGAAAACAATAAGCCTCGTGCTGAAAATAAATTTAGTCGCAATCTCAACAAATTCCTTGGCTCATTTTTTAGTTAAAACATCAAAGTTTGGCCGAGCGCCGTTATATGTTAACTTGAGGCGCTATTGTTTTGCCCGGGCAATCATCAGGAATTGGTTTGAGCTACACTTACGTCAATAATAGCAAATGTCTTGGGTTTACTACTAATGTACAATTGACGAAATTCGAATATTGTTTTGAGTAACACTTGACAAGGAATCTAGAATTGATTTTTTGTTTCAACACTGTTAAGCACTTATTGAAATTCAACCAACTTTTATGCGCAATAGCTTGGTCAGTGGTTACATCGCTCAAACTACTGGCCCACTATCTCACCCAGCGTATAATACTTGGTAAATCAATGCTAAACCCGAAAGATTCCAGTCGTTAAAATATAGCACCTCTTTCGTGCGTATGAGCAGTCGCTTGTACAGACAGGACTTTGATCGGCCTCGAGAAACGACTTTTCAACCAGAAAAAATTTGAACGCGACAATTTTCTGTTTTTTAGAGTTTCCTTTTACAGAACCGAAATAATTGTCATGATCTTTAACCGCAGAAAACAATTTTAAATGCGATATTAACCATGCTGATTTCAATAATAATTTCTATCCTCTCATTAAATTCTTTTTGGCGATGATTGCTTCAAATGTTGTCGCAAGTTGGCTTTCGCGCATTGATTTATTTCTTTGAAATTTAAACAAGCTTCGTCGCCATTTTGTTTCAATCTACTCACAGATACACTGTTAGCATTATTTTATTATTTCAGCGGAGTCCAATCGTGATATTAAGATTTTTTAACGATGAATGCAACTGAACTAAATCAAAATAGAAAACAAATTTCGATTTATGTCCCAGGTTAGTTATTCGTCGCGGCCTTCAAAACGGGGGAGGGGGGGGGGGGGGGGGGGGGGGGGTAAAAAAATTGCGCTCCTGGAGTGTGTGTACCAATATGGAGGTAACTAATTTTGTTCGCCTATTTTACATCAAGTTGTGTAAATGAAATGGAACCTATTGGCAGGGGGATATTCACTTGACTAACACCGATAGTATCCGAGATCGTAATAGAATTAAACAAGAAAAATCGAAATAAAATTATGGCCTAACCCTAACCTGGTACACACACTACGGGAGTACCAAAAAAAAAATCAATTACAAATTAGCGGGCCCTGACGAGCAATAATTGGTCGACGCTTTATCTCGATCAAACATGGTCGCTGGGGCTAAAGTAAGACGACATTCGCACAGTATGCTTGGTCTGGTATGAAATCTGGCACGTGCTGATGTAAAACAGTGCACAAGTTGCCAGTCCTCAAGTATTATTTATTCCCACCTGTCCGTTATGAAATTTGCTAGAAATAATCCGAAATGTTTTATTCCCGCTTGTATCGCACTACCAAAATTGAAAGTAAATACTACTTTTATTTGTAACAGCTGAAAAAAGACGTGTATGTACTATTACATTATGTCCCGCTGATTTCTTTCACCGCCACTCGAGTGGAAGCCTGACAAACGCAAACAAAATAAATATATATTTTAGGATGAGAAACATGATTGTCAATTAACATTGCCGGCCGATGAACTCATTTAGTAATAGTTCTCTTCAAATGTACGCGAAATATTTCACTCAGAACAAAGTTTAAATTAAATATTATCTAGACGTCGGTAGCTGATTCCTTATCCAATCATGCCCGGGCGTACAATAACTTAGTCGCAGCGCAGGTGTGCTGTTGAAAATTTTCATCAAAATTGTCACGAATTTTCAGGTGTACGATCTATTTAAATTCACGCATAATAGAAACTAAGGCTATTCAGTGGAAAACTGAACTCGCAGTTTGGTGGAAATTACGCCACACATCATCTCGAGGGTTCCATTACATTTGAACCCACGTACATTTGAACCCATGGCAATTGCACCTGTATGCTATTGCACCTATGGAATTTTTTTTGTTTTTCGGATAGTTGAACCCACACTAACCCTAACCCATGGGTTTTAGCACCCGCATATAGATTGAACCCGTGGATATACACATGGGTTCAAATGTACATGGGTTCAAATGTACGGTCACCCATCTCGAGTGATGCGTAAAAGAGTGTGTTGTGCCGAACTTGAAATAAATGACGGCAGATAAGTAAAAAAGTCATTCACGAAAAATTCATTTTCATTTATTTCGGTTCCGTAATTTGGTGTTATTTGGAGTACCGCATAAACGCGTTCGGCACTCTTAACGCCGCCGAAAACAAGGATTAACAAACGTTCAATGTTTTTTCTTTCGGTCCCGTAATTTGGTGTTATTTGGAGTGCCGCATAAACGCATTCGGCAGTTTTGACGCCGCCGAAAACAAGGATTAACAAACGTTCAATGTTTTTCTTTCGGTACCGTAATTTGGTGTTATTTGGAGTGCCGCATAAACGCATTCGGCAGATTTAAAGCCGCCGAAAACAACGATTTAACAAACGTTCAATGTTTTTTTTTTTCGGTAAATCGCTCTCTTTTTCCGAATCGCGTAAATCGTGAATTACAAATGTCGTGAATTACAAAATCGTAAATGAAACTATAAAAGAACATTTCAATGGTATGTGATTACGAATTGAGCATGTGTATTGCATTTTATTCTTGAAATTTCTATTGTGCTCCATAGGGTCGTTTGTAGGAATATTTACTATTTTTGTATGTAATCGCGTAAATCGATTCGTAAATCCTAAAGTGGCATCCCTAGTGAAGTCAACTGGAGAAACCAATAAGAACCAAAATAGAATCATTGCCGTCAAGATAAGATAATGTACCATACTCCACTAATAATCGTATTACGCTCCACATATTTACATTTTATTGATAATCTACATTTTTTAGGATCAGGAGATGCATCTCTATTGCACTAACCGAGACCAGCATTCCGTCAGAACCGGTTACAGAATTAAACAAGGAAAAGCCGGACCTGCAGGGCCTCCTGGTGTCGTGAATTACAAAATCGTAAATGAAACTATAAAAGAACATTTCAATGGTATGTGATTACGAATTGAGCATGTGTATTGCATTTTATTCTTGAAATTTCTATTGTGGTTCATAGGTGTAAGAATATTTACTATTTTTGTATGTTCTCTAAGTAGGGCTGGGCATTTTCGAACACCCGATGATATGAGAAACGAATCGAATATTTTTTTCCTATCGAATCTCGAATACTTGGGAGATATATAATTGTGTGTAACTTTCTTATTGTATTGGATTCTCCAGACACATAAAATATCGAAAACATAGAATACATCACTCGGACAGATTGCTGATCATTCACACACAGTGAAAAACACGTTTTCATCAAGAACTCACTACAAAAACGAGTCATATGTCCGAATTGGGTTGAAAAAATATGTCTTAATAGAAAATAAAATTGTGAAATTTACCTCGACCATTGGTGGAAATAAAAAACGGCGCTCCCGAAGTATGTTCACCAAGATGGCGCACAACTTGAACCCTAACCTGGTACACATAATAAGTTCAGGCTGTGCGCCATTTTGGTGCACATACTTCTGGAGGTCCGAAAAAACAAAATGGCGGCGATTTGAAATTTTACTTCAAACCGATTCAAATAATTTATTATTCGATTCGAAATGCCAAGCCCTATCTTTGAACTTCCTATGCGAATAATTCACTCCAATTTTTTCAGGTTTACATTTCCGTAGCGCATAAAACAGTTTTCCGATCCAATTAAACGAAGTAATAATGATAAAAATCCAGGATTTGTATATAGCTCCATTCAACCCCTTAGTCTTTGTATTTACCAAGAAAATTAAAACTCGGAAAATATTAAATTCGGAATATTGTAATTTGAAATTCGTTTTGAAAATATTCTTAAATAAAAATATTCTTAAATAAAATATTCTTAATATTCTTACATCAATTTACGCAATTAAAAAAATATCGGCACGTTTGTTTCGGATTTTTCTAATTTTATCAATGTCCTATACATGCAGACATTTTCGTGAATATTGTATTATTTTTAAACATTGTTATTTCAAGTCGGATAAATTTTTGTCCAGATATTTCCGGACAGATACAAGCAAAGATGACTCAAATTGGTCCGATTGTTGAGAAGTCTAGCGAAGACATAGAGGATTTGAAAGCAGGTAAATAGTTAACGATTCATTTTAGTAAACATGAGAGCCATGCTCAAATATCTGGACACGGCCAAAACGAAGTAGTACGTATATGCAATTTGTAACAGTAGACTACCGGTACAGCAGTGTTCACAACTAACGCTATCGCGGAACCGCCACAAGGTGCGCAATTTTTGATGACGTCATAACACGCAAATAACGAATCCCATAGAATCAACATAAATTTTTGGAGGAAATAAAAGTGATTGCCTTCCAGTTAGCAAAAAATACGATCCTCAACCAGTACTTGAAAGCAATTGCTTCTGTAGTTAATGAGAAAAGCGAGTTTTTCATAAAAGGAAAATGCTGACAAAGAATTGACAAGATTCCATATTTACATTTCGTTTCCAATAAGACGAATAATGTTTAGTAAAACTGAGCATACGAGTTCGGGACCTTTCATTCACGATAAAAGCTTTTTCGTAAAAGTTGCCCACAACAAATTATTTTTGTCCCACAAGTTTTTCAGCCTTTAAATACTTTTTGTAATTTTTTTAAAGCATCTGGGCTCACTCAAACAAAAAACGAATGAAAAAAATCGAATAACAAAGCTTAAATATTTTGCGCGGTTCATGATTATTTTTAAATTTTCGTATCGTAATGGAATGAGCATAATTTTAGGATTTCATAAATATTACCTATAGTGAGAAAAGAAAATGAGATTTTTATATCTATATTAGGTTATTGCTCTTTTGAATAATGAAGGCGTGATAATAAATAAATCTAAATTCACTTCACAGTAATGCAGCAAATCCGCGAGCAGCTTGGGAGACTTAGAACATTAAATATACACCAAATTGTAGACATCAGCACTTGGTATAAAGCACGTAACAACTATTACTACAAACTATTTGACGACCAGGCCACTTACGCAGAGGCGAAGGCGAATTGCACGATACTCGGAGGCCAACTGGCATCGGCGGGAATTCGAGATGAAGATATTCGCAGGTGATTTGGGTTGTTGGGATGAATAAGGGTGTCTTGACCGAAATCGAATATAATCGTAGAATATTCTAAACAACTGTTGCTTAGTTTTCATATAAACGATTCAGACTCGTTCTTTCAGATCCCACTATGCCATAGTCTTTAAAGTTATGCTGTAGCGCCCATTATGCCTGTATTATATCTTTTGAAAATATCTAATGAGCTTTCATACTTATAACTAATGGTTGGAAGTTGTATAGGGGTGATCTGAGCGTTCGCACTCACTTGTAATTGGATCAACACACGTTTGATACACTGTAACTCCGCCCTGCTTTCCGTTAGAAGTCAATAAGCACATAGTATACTAAATTTTGGTATATTGTACAGTTGAGCAATCGAATTGAATCCAAATAATAGATAACGAAATACACTTTACATAAACTTGTGATGAAACCAAATTTTAACTAAGAAAGTACGATAAAGACAAGCAATACTTGAGTGAAGGAAAGATATCATAAAGGAAATGAAATGGGGCAACGACCTTGTTTAATTAAATTATTAAAATACGTGGTGAAAATTATCAAAATACACCGTAACTATATTTATGTAGCCTACTCGCTACAGTTGACCAACGGAATGATAAGTGCTCAAATATTGAGCAAAAATTAATTCGGTTTTGGCCATTCCCAAGTCTCAACTCTAAGCATGGTCAACCAACCTTTGAATTGTCATGAATGGTGTGAAAGCAAAATAAATTATTTTTTTTACAGAGAAATCCTACCCTTGGTCAAATCTGGAGAATTCCAAACTTGGATTGGTTTGAACGACATTCAAGAGGAAAACACGTTTATCTGGGAAGATGGTGTTACGGCAACTGCAGGTTCTATTCCATGGCATGATGGTCAACCTAACAGCTTAGGCGGTAATCAAGATTGCGTTGAAATGCAGCCTAGCTTTGGCTGGGAGCTGAACGATCAAAATTGTACAATCAAACGAAAATATTTATGTGAGATTGAACCATGATTTCACATTTACATAAAGCCAAAGACTTATAATGCCTGAATCATAATAATCAACATTAGCGATATCTAACCAAGATCGGTGATTTTCAGGGAAATGATGGTAAAACATTTTGTTATGGACTTCGTGTCCATATATTTGAGCATAGCTATCTTGTTAGCTATAAAGAGCAAAATATCTTCAACATCAACAATATACTTCGTGAAGGGGCTAATGGACACATTTATAATATTTATGAATATAAAGTTAACAAAGTCCGTAAATTTTGTTGTTTTGTATGTCTCTTCGTACATGTAGTCCTATTTAGTAGACGCTAAACCTAAATTTAACAATTTTTATTGAATTTTATTCCAATGGGAATCCCATGGGATGGGATAAGCATAATTTCTATGGGATGGGACAGAAAAATATGTCCCATGGACAAGCCTGCATATTAGTTTGTGTCCCAATAAGAAAATAGGTTATAATATGTATATTTGATGCGTACACCCCTTTTTGAACCAATGCCCGTAATATTGATTTTCATTGAATGACTTCCTTTTACCCTGATTGTATATAGCTGAAATAAAGCTGATTACTAGCCAGTTTGCTTTATGTTGATTCTATCAAAGGCCAGGCATTATTAGATTTTATCTATTGATGCACTAAGCAGGACAAGAACACTGATATAACAGAATAAGATGGTTATATTGATTGCCGTGAGAGAAAAGCCGATAAGAACTGGTCTGGGGGAAAGGGGTACACAATTTGATACCCGCATAGTATTTGTACCAAGTTAGGCTTAGGCCATAGTTTTATTCCAATTTTCCTCATTTTAATTATATTAAGACGTCGGGGACTGTCTGTGTTAGCTAGGTGAATATACCCCATTCCCATAAGTTTCAGTCCTTTACAGAATTCAAAGTAAAATAGGCGAACGAAATTAGTAACCTTCGTATTGGTTACTACACTTCTGCAGTGTCAAAATTTTGATTGGGACACTGGGTTTTAGGAAAAACATTGCTTTTGATATATCTAATTTTGACTCCAACTCCAGATACATAGGTGTCAATGCCAAAAGTGATTTAACACTATTTAATTCTTCGTGTTAGGTATTGAAAATAGGTATGAACTTTGATTCCAAATCTGTGACCCACTGTACAGAGAAAGTTCGAGTCATTGACTCGAGTCGGACTCGGTCAATATTCATCAAAGTCTCAAATTAACTTAGATCATCTAAATCAGTGGTTCGCAAACTTTTTAAGCCGCACCCCATTTTTTAGAATTTGCCAGGTTTCGCACCTCACCTCAAAACTAGCTAACAAATTGCAGATAGTAAGGCGAAAGTACGTTTTATTAAAACCACGTTCAAAATATGTGGATGGAACTTAAATGATGACATTTAAATATCCAAAATAAGGCGGACAACATCTAATCTAACTTATATTTTCATTTTTAATTAGCTTCACGCTTCCTCAAAAAGTTGTCTACGTCCCAACGTTTGAAAACCATTGAGTTCTAAATGGAATGACTCAGATTCGTCCTAAACTAATCGCCAATGAGATATAACCCAGTGAATATAACCCGTGAGTTTACTTATTTTAGGGTAGGGTTGTGCAACATTTTTCGTCGGTGGGTCACATTCAGACATATAGCTGGGCCAAATGAAAATGTGGAATTTTCTATCGCTTAGCCTTACAGCCTTATTAATAAAGGCACCGGACAAAACGGCGAAATATTCAAAGAAATGACAAGAGCAAAAAACACATTGTGTATTTAGCCAAAAAGAGCGCCTTTTAAGCATAAAATGTCGGATAAGCTTTTTGTGCTTGGTTGGAAAAATCATGGGTAAAGTGTTTTCGTATATCATACAAAAGTGTCTCTAGGATTTCCGCTGATAGTTGAGACCCGCCCAAAAGCAAACTGTCGCCATGCATGCAAAATTGCTAAGGTATATAGCGGTAGCGTACTATTGTGACCGGATTACCAAAACTGTCAGTTCATTTTGAGCGCTGCGCGCTTGGTCTGCATATGTGGCTATTAATAAAACATGCAAACTATTACCATGCAAAATTGCTAAGGTATAAAACGGCAGCGTACTGTATATATAATGTTTTTCGATGTACAAACGGACTGGATAAAATATCTTTCTGTGTACAATATTTACAGTTAGCAATATTTAAACCTTGAAGGACAGATATCCACTGTGCCTTCATGTTGGTTTTTAAATTGACTATGACGTCAGATAACACAACGTCACAGCTGAATTTTTTAAAATCTAAATTGAATTTCAAATTATAATTTTGAACTTAAATTGAGTAATATTTTGAAATTGATCTCGAAATTATAATAAAACGTCATGGTTCCAGAAGACGCTATAATACCCGTTTGCGAAGGTGGGGGCAGATGCCAGTCACTCCTTATACTACATCAACAACAGTGATAGTTAAATGAGCAGTAAATGCCGTTAGTGATTCTTTCAGGGCAAAATAATTTCAGTCATCAATATATTTATACTAATTAATGTTTCAAAATATTTTAAATCAAATCTGAGCTCAAAGAGTTGGAAATATTGGAATTACGTGTATATTTTTAGTCGATACCAATACAAAATACCGATACCGGAAAAATGGCCGATACCGAGTTTGCTAAAATCCCCGTTTGTAGTATTTTAAGACAATTACTTCCGTGGCGCACACCTTCGCGTGATACTGATACAACTCGCCCGTTTAATTGGTTTCCGATCTCGCTTTAAAAAAATTGTTATTTTAATTGTGTTTTATGAGAATAACAGAGCTGTGATTTGCGCAAAACTATTTAATCTGCTAATTTACGAAGTCCACCCGCCATTCATACTTCATTTTTGCTTTAGCAGTTTATGTCAGATTAGTGGTGGCTCTTGCCTTTAGTTTTAGTGGAGACAGATTCCCAAAGAGCTCCCACCATACCTTAGTGAGTGCAATCGTTTACCAATTGAAATACAGACTTGATAAATTTTGTAATTGTCCACGGCAGCAATAACGGCATTAATGAAATTTGATTGACAACGTTAGCGTCGAAATGCGGCAATGAGGCGGTAATTCGAATTATCATGAATATCGCATCTCATAAATTTATTGTGGGACTCCGTAAATAAATTTCAACCTCTTCACGGACTTCATCACAATAAAAGATTGAGAACCCTTGGGGTAGGCAATGTTAAGCCGAAAAGGCTTCTCAGACATCATTACATATTAGTGGTTGCAGATTCATGAAACAAGTCCGTCGCCATTACCTCACACAAGGTGTAATAAATTGGAAGATGCTGTGCTATGCCCAGTGGTTGCTATTATAGAGCCTTGTTCAAATAGAAAGCCGTAAAATTGAAATAAAACAACATATCCTCTCTTAACAGGTTCTATAGCACCGGCACCCCACCGGTGGCTCATAACATCCCAATGGGCCGCAGAGCAGTTGGAGGGAGTCACAATGCTAAGCGCAAAACTGATTTTAATTTTCACTTTACAAGAAAATTCCCCGTTCGTCCTAGTTTCATTGCTTGGTAAGGGTATTTCATTTCACTTTGTTGAGCATGAATTGTTTTATAATGGGTTTGGAATTCACCAATCATAATAACACTATAAATACCACTGGGCCACAAGTGCTAAAAGCCCACGAAATGGGGCCATGAACCATAAATGGTTGGGAACTACTTTTGTAGAGTATTTTATCATATGGTGTTACATAATCTAAAACTTGCCGTAATTTTGTCATCACTTTCGCTTGCAAATTTCGCAATTTTATTACTAAAAAGTTTTGCATTCTCAAATGTGCAGGAAGTCACATTTGAGAGAATTGAGACAAAAAAAAAAATTTACGAGATAACAAAAAAGAAAAGTATAGAAGTCGGAACGAAAAAATCTAGCACAATATATTACGAATTGAGCGCCAAACTGCACATTGTATGTTAGTATAGAAGTCGGAACGAAAGAATATAAGAAAAAATCTAGCACAATATATTACGAATTGAGCGCCAAACTGCGCATGGTATGTTATATATAGATTCTTGAAAGTTTTTTTTAAGATTGTTAGCTGTTTAGAAATTTCGTTTTTAGCAGTCATTTTGAATGTTTGTTCTAAGCAAGGTTTTTTATAATCTCTGCTAACAGCTAGCTAGTTACTATCTTTCAGAAGGTCCCGAGTTTACATATACTGTTTGGCATATCGGCTCCCTAACCATAGATACCTGATTTGTTCACGTTAATTTTGATCTCGCTAAGCTCAGAATTAAGCCGATAAATTTGTAGATATTTTTGTTTTTTGCGCCCGCAGAGAAGTGAATGAATGCCCGGAGACTGATTGCCGTGAATTATTTGACCAAACGTCTCTAGGTATAAGCCAACGTCAGTAGAATTTCTAACTAAAACGAGGAATTTTTGTTATAAAATTTTTTTTTTATTTAAAGATATATATTTACAAAATTTAAACCTAATTGTGTTCCGTTTTCCGAAGCATTGTTACCGCATAGTGAGTGATCATGTATTTTACTTGGATACTCATGATACTATGCGTTGAAATATCACATGGGCAACGAATCCCGGAACAAAGTTCGCAAGTAAGTGTGTATATTTGTCGAGAAGCTCGACGTTTGTTTTTTAATCGTTCACCTTATCTGATTCTTTGTCTCGCTTTGTTTAAAATAGCGCGTCAGGCGCGATTTTTGGATAGCTCATTCAAGGGTGTGCAACCTGCGGCCCGCAAACATTTGACCCAAATGTGGTTGTCAAAAGAAAAATTTATGCGCCCCGCGTAGAAGTGCCAATTTTGAATGAGATGCGGCCCACGGAACGAGTTTTCAATTCAATTTGAATTTAATACTTGCGAGTAATTCCAATCTCTTTGCGCCATGAACCAAGTCTAATTTATCCATGCCTAAAACTTTACAATGCCTTAAATGCTAGCTTGTAGAAAAATACATGTCATAGGATCAATAACCAACAACTAACAACTACTAGATAGCTCGTGTTAAATAAAGGTGCGGCCTGCGGTTTTACCCAGTTATTTCTACCTGGCCCCCCTGTATTAAAGGTTGCACGACCCTGGCTTATATGACAGTGATCATGAGGGCTGGACATTTCGAATCGGGCAAGACAAAAATTTCGAATTTTTTTATTTTTTTATTATTCAAGCCATATTTTTACTATGCAATTCTAACATATGGGATATGACTTTTTTTTTAAGTGAGTTCTTGAAACATATTACTTCTTGTGTGTGAACTCTCAGCAAACTGTCTCTATTCCAAATATATTCTGGGCAATTCATGTACCCGTACGACCCATTACAATAAAAAAGTCGCATAAAATTTAATAAGTTTCAAGATTCGATGTTTATCCATGATTAGGACAAACAGTTGCAGTTTTTGGCGAACGCTATTTACGGACGGGCATTTCCAAAATATTTGCCGTCGCCGGGTGTTTCACGTTGCCGCGTAGTTTTGGCTTTAATTAACCCCCGACCACATCTATAATTCTGAAATTCCGGCAAAACTTTTTACCAACAATTCAAGGCGTACGTACAGATTGGTGAGGATAAGGAGGTTCATTACAGCGAAATTCAGAGTTCATTGGAGTGAAAAATCAAAAAGACTTTCAAAACTTTATATCAGGATATACGAAATTTAATTATTACTGAAATGTCAAAGAATATGCGCATTCAAATTAGAGAACAGTAGAATATTTACCGAAAAATGAACTTGTAGTATTCTGGAATATGAAACATTATAAATAGAAATTTCGTGTTGTTTGGAATAAAAGTACATTACCGGAATCTAAATTAAGAATGTATAAAATAATACGCATCCTCGTTTATTTAAAAGATATAAAACAAATAATGCCGCTACCTAGCAAAAACACGTAAAAAATGACAATTCTATGCAATTCAGTTGCGATTTGTTACGATATTCCAGATCAGGAGTAGAAATCCTTTTATTGTACATTGAATTTAATATTGTACATCCATATTAGTTCAAAAGATATAAACGCAAACAATGTCGATTCTTGGCGGATAAACGTTAAAAAGGGCATTTCTATGCAATTCAGATTCGATTTTCTGAATTACCCACATTAGAAATGAAAATTCTTTTATTGTAAATTAAAGAACATTAAATTTAATAATGTACTTCTATGTTAGTTTAAAATATATAAACCGCAACAATATGTCGCTACTTAGCAAAAACACGCGGAAAATGACGTTTCTAAGCAATTCAGTTGCGATTTTCTAAATATCCCACATTGGGGATAAACATATTTATGTAAAAAATAAATTAAAGTAAATAAAGTTTATTTACTTTAATATTGTAGAATATAAAGCGCATCTATATTACCTTAAAATACAAAAATTGAACCAGGCCCCACTTAGAATCCATAGTGCATGATATTACGCCTCACATATTTATGCAGGTGCAGATTATACTCGGTGAATTACGGTCTATATTTTAGCCGACGATTCGTTATTTTCAACGCTATTATCAACACGAATTTATATCAATAAACAGTATCCTGTAGGCGTAATTTCTACGGCGGTGAGCCATTTCCGGCCCGCGGGCCGTAGTTTGACAACCCCTGGTTGACCGAGCCCAACTAGAAACAGGAATACTTATACTTTATTGTTAATTTACATTCTTTAGGATCAGCAAATGCATCTGTATTGCACCAACAGAGAGCAGAATTCTGTTACAAACGATCGAAGAATAATTCGAGGAAAAGCTGGGCCGCCTGGTGTGGTGAATTACAAAATCGTAAATGAAAGTATACAAGAAAATATAAACGGTAATTATTGAATTTAACATGGTAATGTAGATTCAATGGTACTCCCGAAGTATATGAACCAAGATGGCGGACACCGGAACGTATAGTAAGTGTACCAGGTTAGGGTTAGGCTATAACTTTATTGCAATTTTCCCTATTTTAGTTCTGGACTATGTGTGTTAGCTGAGTGAATATACCCCCTGCCCATAGATTTTCGTTCCTTTACCCAACTTGATATGAATTAGGCGAACAGAATTAGTTACCTCCATATTGGTACACACACTCCTGGAGCGCCTTTTCATATATGACAAAGAACGGAAATAGAACTACGGCTGCGTTGCTTTTACCAAAGTAAATCGAGATGGCCTGAATTTGCGCAATACGGCCATTTCTCTTATTTTCGCAATGGCAAGTAGTGGGCCATGAGTGCTGAAAGCTTCCAAAAGGAGGCCACGATACATAAAGGTTGGAACCATAGCCGTACAGTCTCACAATTCTCTCGTACATGATCAGCGGTGCGGTAAATGGCGAGTATAGCACGCATACTCAAGTGCGCCCATCGCCCAACAAAGTGCAGCCGATGGAAACCTGTTGGGCTTTCAATCTGTCCAGTTGCGTCTTTGAACTGTTTAATTAGGAAACTTTTTTTTTGTATCATTTCCATATCCGAAGTAACTGCCAAGTATGATTTATTATAATATCAATCTTTATATTCAGATCAAATTCATCCGGTCGTTGAGAAATGCAATGAAGACATGGCAGAGCTGAAATTAGGTGAATTGATATTTTATTATACAAGTCTAATCAGAGCAAGTCAACTACAATCGAATAAAATATAGAACAACAAAGAAAATATAGTGCAACAATTTATGCTATATAGTATATACACATAAGACGCAACGCAAGTTCATGCTTCCGAAAACAAATAACTGGCTAACTAATCCTTCACACGACATGGACTGGTAACCGAACGAGAGGCCGTGGTTCACATTTTGATTAAGGTGTATCATCGGCTTTCCTCTTTGCCGGGATAAATATGTAAATCCTAAGACATAAAAAGAGTCGACCAATCGTCTTGCATACGATCATAGAAAGTATCGATAAAATGACTTTACAATTGCTTTACAGAAATACAACAAATCCGTGAGCAGATGAAAGAGATGATATCAAAATCACGCGGAATTGAAGCTAATAGCGCCGAAACATGGTACAAAGCGCGGAACAACTACCGCTATAAACTATTCCTCGAGAATGTCTCGTACGACGTTGCGCAGGGAAATTGCATGAGAAACGGAGGTAGACTAGCGTCGGCAGGAATTCGAGATGAAAATGTCCGCAGGTAGACTGGATCATTGCGCGATCCTTTTAATTTTCGAATGAATTATTTGGGTTATATTAGAAAGGTGTAGCTTTAACAGTTCTCAGATATACTAAATTTTTTTAGAGATGTAGTTCCCAATCTTTATTCTCTTTTGTAGCCCATTTTTGCCGTGAATATCAATGTTATGCCCAAAAATGCTTTAATGAAAATCCAGTATTATAATTTTTTTTTTATTAATTTAAACAACAGTAAAAGTGTCAACGATCAAACTAATCGCTGTGTCTATTTGTCAGCATGCCAAGTTGAAATTCCAAACTTTGGTTCAACCTCAAACATCTCCTTTCTTTTCAATTTACAATTGATGACGTTGTCTTGGGACCTACTGTAGGCCTAATGAAAACTCAAATATCCTATAACTCAAATATTTCAAATATCCTCAAAGCTCACTTGTGGTAGTATAGGACCCCCGTTAAGAAACACTATTCAGATACATTGTCTATTACACTTGTGTTATACTATAAAATATCTCATGGTCAGTATGTTTTGAAAAAAAATACCCACAGTAGGTTGTTCGCGTCTATATGGTCACTAGAATCTTGAGGGAATGGGCGTACCTAACGAACTTTTTTTTTGCAGAGAAATCTTACCCTTGGTCAAAATTGGAGGATTCAACACTTGGATTGGTTTGAACGACATTCAAGAGGAAAACACGTTTATCTGGGAAGATGGCGTTACGGCAACTGCAGGTTCTATTCTCTGGGGTGATCATCAACCTAACAGCCATGGCGGTAATCAGGATTGCGTTGAAATGAGGGGCAGCCTTGATTGGGAGCTAAACGATGAAGGTTGTCACATCAAACTAAAATATTTATGCGAAATTGAACCATAATTTCACAGTCACGACTAGCTAAAGACTGATGATGCTTGAATCATAATCAACATTAACGATATCTAACCAAGATTTGTGGATGTCAAACTTATATTTTATCAAACTCAAATTACAACGAACAAAGACAAGAAACTCCTTTTCAACGTATTGTTTACCCAAGTGGTCATATTCAGAAGGTCCAAAATAACGCGACATTAGCGAACCCATTCCTAAAATCTTGCAATAATACCGAACCTGTTCTTGAAATCCCGCAACCCGTCGCGAAAATATCGTGCTATTAGCGAACCCGTCTTTGAAATATCGTGATAATTAGCGGGTAACAAATAACTGGATGACTATCCCATATCCTGGTAACCGGACGAGAGGCGATTAATTCGTCTTATACGCTTTTCTCCATCGGGGGTAAATTGAAGATCATGTCCTAGATTCCTAGAACAATGTTTCCCAAACTTTTAAGACCGCGGACCACTATTTGTCAATCTTAGTTTTGACGGACCCCCACCCGATACCCGTACCGTATCAGTTTCTGGATATTCCCGAAAATCCAATATTCCTTATTTCAGTTCTAGCGAACTCGTATTTTCTGGTAGAAATTTGTAATCTCTGTAAGTGTAAGAACAAAGCCATCTTCCCGTATGGTTCCCATGATGTCCATATCAATTCAAAGTTGTTCACAAGAATAGTTCGTTTGTAGATTGTATTTGGCTCATATTATTTTTTATGCAACGCCTATTTGCGCCTTTGCTCCGAACATTCCTCATTACCCACTCAATTTATTACTCAATGGACGTCTGAGATGCCGCCACCTCTTTATTGAACCAGTGTCCGTAATATTGTTTTTCTTTGAATCACTTTCTTATATCTTGATTGTATATATCTGAAATGAACCTGATTACTGAACAGTTTGCTTTTTGTTGATTCTATCTAAGGCCAGGCATTTTAAGTTTTTATCTATTGCTGCACAAATCAGGACATGGACACTGATGTACCAGATTGCGATGCTTAATATTTGATCGTGGAGATAGAAAAGTCGATACGAACTGGGATGGAGAGTCTGGGAAATTTTACCCTCAACTACGTGTTTGATTTCGATTCGAAACATTCGATTTTCTCTCACATTAAAGAAAACATGACTCCGCCACTCCAACCTTCAAACACTTAGACTCCGGACTTGAACAAAACATAGATATTTTGTGATAAAAACATTTATTACGAGTTCGGGGACTATCCAAGTGACTCCCGTAGTATTTGTACCTAAAATTGTGAACTAACCTGGTACACATACTACGTTATTTTGTAATAAAATCATTGGCGTATGCCACCCTTTTTGAATAAAATATTAATAACGCTTAATGAGCCTATAATGCTTTATAGATAGGATACATGAGAGTGAATAAGTAATCACAAGTAGACAAATAAGACATGGCGAAGGGGGGCGAAAGCTAATTTGATCTTGCCCGCCTTATTTTGGATATTTACGTTACATCCACATATTTTCAACGTGTTTTTTGAATAAAACTTTCTTCCTACCATCTGCTATTTGTAGCTTATTGTTAGTTATTTATAAGGTGGACGCGAGACTTGACAAATTCTAAAAAAGGGTGTGGCCCATAATATTTCAGAATCACTGAACTATAAAGTGGCGTATTCACAAGTGCATATGGTCGGAGAAATACGTAACACATTTGCAATAGTTTATCGTGAAATCTCTGCAACCGCCCAAATTTGCAAGCATCCTCAAAATGAAAAGCTGGGAAGCATACTGGTTGCCCATCATATTATACAAAACTATGAACTTATATATACTGTATAAAAACGCGGCATGATTTGATCATTACAATATCGCGACAGTGCCATTCTCATATTTTTTTCGCAAAACTGTTTTAGTTCACTAAAATATGGTTGGATGTAGAAGTAATTCATCATGCAATGCGCCATGTCGTCATATTTGAAATAAAGCGCACGCATGTGAAACATAGGTTCAATTAGGGGAGAGCATTGCAAATATACTTCCCGGATTTCAGTATTTTAATGCAAAAATAGAAAAGTAGTATTTCCAATGCAAAATACTGCATCTATGCTCATATTTTTCGGCTAAATTATTTTTGTCAGTTGACTATAAATAAGGTTGGGGTGATTTATCATGAGCCATATTTGGAATAAAGTGCACGCGGGTGCAATGCAGGTTCAATTGCCGTGCGGGGAAAGCATTGCTAATATACTCCATGGTTTCCATTATTTTAATGCAAAATACTGCATCCATGCTCATATTTTTCAGCAAACTAGTTTTGTTAGTGTACTAAACATACGGTTGGATTTATGAGTGAATTATCATGCAATGCGTCATATTTGGAATAAAGTGCATGCAGGTGCAATGTAAGTTTAATTACTGTGCGGAAAAAAGCATTGCAAATATACTCCCTCGTTTCCATTATTTCAATGCAAAATACTGCATGCATGCTAATATTTATTTTTTGCAAAATTATTTTTGTTGGTTCACTAAAATATGGTTTGATGTAGTAGTAATCCTTCATGCAATGCGCCATGTCGTCATATTCGAAATAAAGCGCATGCAGGTGTAACGTCGGTTTAATTCAGGGGGAGCATTGCAAATATACTTCCCGGATTTCAGTATTTTAATGCAAAAATGGTAGAGTCGATTTCCAGTGCAAAATACTGCATCCATGCTCATATTTTTGGGCAAAATGATTTTTGTCAGTTTACTAAAAAATAAGGTTGGGGTAATTTATCACGAGCCATATTTGGAATAAAGTGCACGCGGGTGCAAGGCAGGTTCAATTGCCGTGCGGGGAAAGCATTGCAAATATACTTCCTGGTTTCCATTATTTTAATGCAAAATAGTACATCCATGCTCATATTTTTCAGCAAACTAGTTTTGTTAGTTCACTAAACATACGGTTGGATTTAGGAGTGAATTATCATGCAATGCGTCATATTTGGAATAAAGTGCATGCAGGTGCAATGTAAGTTTAATTACCGTGCGGGCGAGAGCATTGCAGATATACTTCCGGTTTCCAGTATTGTGATGCAAAATGCCCCATCATAGTCTGTGTTACAAATTGATACCTCACGCACCTCGCTCGTAGATAAAACCGATATAAGCTTGCATTTATCTGGCAACCAATCCTGATAATAACTACTTTCAATTTATAGTATGGAATAAACGTCACGAAAAGAAAAAAAATTGATGGTATATGTTAGCGTACGACGTTAGTGAATTTTATTTTAGTATTTTAGTTGACAAGGCAGTGGTTACGCAAAAGAGAAGCAACATGTTTTCGTATATTCTCGTTTTGCTTTTATTCTTGGAATATGGAATGGCAGGTGAGAGGTTAACTTTTTTTCCTGAAACAAATATTGCTCTCAAAAATTGAGCATATTGTTTGAACAAGACTATGTGAGAGTTCAATTAAAACATGCTCAGAAATCAGTTATTTATTTCTTTACCATACTGAAAAAACGTACTATACATACACGAAGTAAAAGAAAATTAAAAAATGGTACTTCAGGGTGGAGGGGGACACCGAAAACCAAAAAGGTTATCGAGCAGCGGCACCCTTAAGAAAGTCTAAAAGAACATGATAAGTAGATTAAAGTCGAACTAAATATGTTATTTAAAAAAATATTAGTGATTCATGAAATACATTTGCAACGTTTCGACAATGTATTTAAAATGCAATGCAATTTATTTTATCTAATGGTAGATTTTTTGTAATGATCTGATTAGATTGCGGTATTTGATCCCTAACGTGGTACACATACTACGTTCCAGAGTCCGCCATCTTGGTGCACATACTACGGGGAGTACTTAATTATCAATTTTAACTTTTCCATTTTCGCTTTACATGTACATTTTTATTGCGTAGCTTACAAATATATGAAATATCATTTTTAACACGAGGGAATTCCTTTTTGTCAGAATACTTCCACAATAAAAACAAGTTATAAATACATTATACTTCATATAACTATTTTACTTTTTCATGCACGATCAACAACAAGAAGAACCAGACACTTCATCCTGTAGTATCGAGAAAACAATTACGCTGTCGGTGAGTCATATCGCTGCTAAATGATCTTTTCTATTTTTAAAATTTTATTTCCACAAACTAATCTATGTTTTTTAATTTTGATTCAACAGGCACTTAATGAGAAGGGTGAGTAGTGAAATATTTTGAAATTGTTCTTGGTAGAACATGATAATAAAGAATTTCCCTACTTCATTTCGTATATATGCCTAATAACTTTATAATAGGATAGATTTAGATAATTATCCCGGAGTAGAGCAAGGCCGGTAAGACGACTTAATCATATGGCGGACCACGGCCTCTCGTCTGGTTACTATAATCCTTATGTTAGTCATGGGATCAGTTAGCGAGTTTTTTGTTTTTGGAAGCTTGGACTTAACGGTGGAGGGAGCCACCTGCATGTAAAACATTCTATAGGTTTCATACGAACGTGCGGACAAAAAAAGAATTGAAGCCACAAATTAATCATATTCAATGACCTGAATGGCCAGAAATGCGAAACTAGAATTGTAATAAAATTACGCATATTAACGGTTCAGTTCAATCGGTATGAGTTCATTTCCTCAATAACGAGCACAAAGGGTTTCCTAATAATAATTTATGACACAACATTGATGCTTCAGAACTGAGAGAAAAGCTGGAACAACAAATCGAGTCCGTTTTGCTTGAGAATCCAAATGCAGACATCAGCATTTCCATGGAATTTAACCATGCCGTTCCAACCGAGCCACAGCAGGGCATTGGTGAGAAAAATTTTCAAAATTAAATATTGTTGTTGAAGGTTACAGTGATTTTCCGCTTCCGCTACATATTAGAACACAGGGCTGTATGTAGACCGTTACTGTTGCATGAACATTCAAATATTTGAACTTCGGCATTGACTTGAGTAATTTATTACGCATTGGGTGACATGGCGAGTATCGATTTACACCATTAATTCAACATGTGACG